CCACTTTGTGGTCTTACAAAGGCATCCTCTTGTCACAGATGTAAGGCGGTCCTCAGCCAAGCTGCACATCTAAGAGTTCCCTAAGAAAGTAAAACTTTCCAACCCTATCCGGTGTGTCGTCTAAAAAGATCTGTATAGCATGACCAAGTAGGAATCAGCCTAGTGATGCACGGCAGGTTCAACATTCAAAGCTAAATGAACATAATCCATCACATCAACAGGCTAAAGAAGAAAAAAAAAAAATACACGATCCTGTCAATAGAAGCAAAAAACACATTTGAAAAAATCCGGCACCCATTTGCGAGTTTAAAACATCTCTCAATAAACTAGTAATAGAGGGAATTTTTTCAACTTGATAAATAATATCTACAAAAAAATCCTACAGCTGGCATCATACTTACTGGTGAGAAACTAGAAGCTTTCCCACTAATATCAGGAACAAGGCGAGGGTGTCCGCTTGCCCCACTCCTTTTCAACACCATACTGGAAGTCTCAGCTAATGCAGTAGCATAAGAAAAGGAAGTGAAAAGTACACAGATTGGGAAGGAATAATGAAAACTCTCTTTCTTCACAGATGACTTTATTTTCTATGTAGAAAATCTGGAAGAACTGACCAAAAAACTCCTGACAATAATAAGCAATTATAGCAAGGTAAGCAAGATACAAAATTAATATACAACAGTCAATTGTTTCCCCATATACCAGCAATGGACAAGTGGAATTTAAAATGTTTCTAAAATACTATTTGCATCAGCAACTCCAAAAATAAAACACTTAGGTAAAAATCTAACAAAACACAATCAAGATCTATATGAGGAAATCCATAAAACTCTAGTGAGAGAAACCGAAGAACAAAACAAACAGAGAGATGTTCCATGATCATGAAAAGAAAGACTCAAATATTGTCAAGATGTCAGTTCATCCCAAATTCATTTATATATTCAATGCAACCCCAATCAAAATCCTAGGAAGTTATTTTGTGGCTGACAACCTTATTCTAAAGTTTATATAAAGAGGCAAAAGGCCCAGAATAGGCAACAAAATATTGAAGGAAAAGAGCAGAGTTGGAGGACGGATACTACCCCACCTTCAAGATTTACTATGAAGCTACAGTAATCAATACAGTTTGGTACTAATGAATGAATCACAAATGTATCAGTGAATCAGAATAGAGAGCCCAGAAATAGACACATAAGTGTAGTCAACTGCTCTCTGACAAAACAGCAAAGGAAACACAATGGAGGAAAGATAGTGTTTTCAACAAATGATGCCAGGACAACTGGACATCCACATACAGAAAAAATGAATCTAGACACAGAACTTATACCCTTCACAAAAATAAATCAAAATATGTCATAGACCTAAGTGTGAAATGTGAGACTATAAACCTCCTATAAGATAAAATAGGAGAAAACCTACGTAACCTTGGTTTGGCAATGACTTCTTAGACACAATGAAAAGTACTATCCATGAAAGAAATAACTGACAAACTAGAATGAATTAATATTTAAACTTTCTGCTTTCAAAGGTACTGTCAAGGCCAGGCGTGGTGGCTCACGCCTGTAATCCTAGCACTCTGGGAGGCCGAGGCGGGAGGATCGCTCAAGGTCAGGAGTTTGAAACCAGCCTGAGCAAGAGTGAGACCCCATCTTTACTATAAATACAAAGAAATTAATTGGCCAACTAAAAATATATAGAAAAAATTAGCCGGGCATGGTTGCGCATGCCTGTAGTCCCAGCTACTCGGGAGGCTGAGGCAGGAGGATCACTTGAGCCCAGGAGTCTGAGGTTGCTGTGAGCTAGGCTGACGCCACGGCACTCACTCTAGCCTGGGCAACAAGTGAGACTCTTTCTCAAAAAAAAAAAAAAAAAAAAAAAAAAAGACACTGTCAAGAGACTGACAATACGAGCCACAGACTCGGATAAATATTTGCAAGCTTATCTCATAAAGGTCTATTGTTCAAAATGTATAAAGAACTCTTAAAACTCAACAATAAGAAAATTAACAACTAGAGTATAAAATGGGTCGAAAACCTTAACAAACGCTTCACCAGAGGAGATATTTGGATGACAAATAAGCCTACGAAAGAATGCTCCACATCATGTGTCATTAGGAAAATGCAAATTAAAACAACAGTGAGGTACCATTACACACCTACTAGAATGCTTAAATTCCAGAACACTGGCAATGCCAGATGCTTCCAGGGATGTGCAGTAATAGGAACTCTCATTCATTGTTGGTGGGAATGCAAAATGATATAGCCACTTTGGAAGAAAGTTTGGCAGCTTTTGACTAAGCTAAACAAACTCCTACCATTTAGTCCAGGATTGGGGTTCCTTGGTATTTCCTCAAAGAAACTGAAAACATGGCTACACAAAAAAAACTGCACACAGATGTTTATAACGGCTTTATTCATAATTTCCAAAACTTGGAAGCAACTATCCTTTAGTAGTTGAATGGATAAATAAACTCTACTGTATCCAGACAATGGAATATTATTGAGGGCTAAAAGAAAGAAAAAAAAAGATCTATCAAGTTATCATGAAAAGATATACAGGAAATTCAAATGCATATTACTAAGTTAAAGAAGCAAACATGAAAAGGCTACATGCTGTATGATTCCAATTATATGACGTCTGGAAAAGGCAAAACTATGGAGATATTAAAAAAGACCAGGTGTTGCCAAAAGTTAGGGCAGAGGAAGGGATGAATAGGTGGAGCACAGAGGACTTTTAGGGCAGAGAATCTGTTTTTCTGTATCACACTGTAATGATGGATACATGACAAATTTGCCCAAAGCTGTGGAGCGTACACCACGACCGGGAATGAACTCTAATGTAAACTATGGACGTTGGGTGATGATGGGTCAATGTATGCTCATCAATTGTAACAAATGTACCACTTTGATGAGGGATATTGATGATTCAGGTGGTATGCCTATGTGGGGGAAGGGAATATATGGGAGATATCTCTCTACATAACCTAAAGTTGCTCTAAAACATAACATCTATTTTTAAAATGTACACATTTCATGGAAAACTGTCAGCCTCAGACACTACCATTGAGACTGTGTGAAGAAATGTTTGCCAACAATCATAAAAAATATCTTAAAATATTAATTAAAAGGTGTTTGTACATTTTGACTTAGAAATTCCAATTCAAAGCATATTTTTAAAAATAGGTATATATGTAGACAAGAATTCATCTGGAAGATTTTTTTGCCCCAGTATTATTTATAACATAAAATACTGAAAAGACCCTGAATGCCCCAAAAATAGTGAATTAATCAAACAAATTATGCTAAATCATGCAATGGAATACTATGAAATACTATAAGAATGATATAGCAGAATGCTCTGTGGGAGTCCATTGTTGTTTAAAGAAATGGATGTCTATGTGCAGAAAAAAATACTGATGATTTATATACCAAAATGGTATTACTAATAGTTGCCATAGAATGGTAGCATCATGGAATTTAAAATGTTTCCTTTCAGTTTAATGTTTTCCAGATTTTCTAAAGTGAAAATATACTTCCTTTATTTAAAAAAAAAAGGTAAATATAAACCTTGCCACAGATTTCCACATTAAGTTATATACACATAATTATATTTAATGAAATATTATCTATCCATTCCCACTGGATTATAAAGTCAATAAGAGAGGAGACCATGTCTGCATTTTATTGCTGCAGTCCTAATATATGGAATGGAATATTGTATTCACTCAATAAATATTTGTGGAAAAATGACTGACTAAATGAATAATTTTAAGAATCATGGTTAAACAGATGAAGGATAGATGCCTCATGTTCTACTGACCCAGCACATAGTCTACAGATTAATTTTTCTTAGCAGGTTTCGTTATATCACTACCATGTAATGAATTATCCCCCAATGTATACCTATTACCTGCTGGGTGAATTCTAACATCTATATTCTGGAATTCGGATCTCTAAACCTCAATTTTCTCAAAAGTAAACATGGTGAATAACCTCCCTAGTGTCGAATTGGAAGTAGAGGTAATACAGGAAAAGCACCTCACATGTATCTAATCTAAAGAAATGATCATTATTGGTATGATTATTATCCACCACTTGTGTCCAATCTATTCCCTCAGTTTTACAGCCCAACCTCTCATCTCACTGTATCCTGTTTCAGTCAAATGACACTACTCACTTTTTACTAAAATAAACTATAGAATTTTCCATAAATTCAATTATTCAAATGTCACCTTTCCAATATCTGCAAATCTGAATATCACATATGCATACTATTTGTTTACTTTTTAAAATATGACTTAAATTGATTTTGTTTCTTAGACTGATTCTTAACAACAATATCAATGAAATGTGTTTGATTTTTTTCTATTATAAATTACGTAATTAATAAATAAACATATGCACACGTTTCTTCTTTGTCCAAACCCATACCACATGTCCTCACAGGTAGTACACGTACCATACTTTGAGAGACACTGCCCTACGTTATAGAGGTAAATGGTACTGTGGAGTTATTCTATGCATTCAAATCCTAAATTCAAAGGTGCCTCAGAGTTAACTTTTCTGTGTTTCAGTTTCTTTTCTGATGATTAAAAATAAAGTTAAGGGGGAAAAAAAGTACTTAAAATATTGTTATTCTTGTTCCATGGAAAAGTTTAAAAACAATGACTAATTTGGTAAAAGTCATTATTCCCTATACTCATACTGCAGCTCTAAATACCATTTTACATAATACCAATCCTGGTTTCCTTGAAGAAATAGCTGATTCCAGTTCTGATGTATGAAATATATGACAGGCCCAAAAAGTGAGGAAGCCTTCCAAGACTACTAGAATCATATCAGAAGGAACCAACTTGAATTAAGTTTCCACTGTCTAAACATGGGAAAATTTAAGTGCCACAAAGATGAAGTTAACTGTAATGAATTGAAATTCATCAATATGTTTACATCTATGAGTATATAATGATACTACTAAAACAAAAATTCATTGATTACCTTTGGTGGATGCTAGATAATTATCTCATAATTTTGAAAACTGATAAATAGATGGAAAGAGTTGAATATGTATCCTGCTGTTCCAATACTGGTTAGTATTTCTAGATGACCACATAGTTATTGAGGCAAATGCCTATTTATTGTACTGATTCAGCTAATAAATGCAAGAAAATAATCACAGGATTCTGTGTCATTTGTGAATAGGAGTCTTCAAAGGTGAATTTAAGGTTTGTAGACTGAGATGTGACAGTACAAATTGGTCATTAACTGAAAAAGAAAAAGAAAATCATTAATTTTGACTCAGGCTATGTCCCTTAACCATTTGAGACGTAACTTCTCCACTGCCAAGAATCATAAACTCTACACCAAGGTTTAAATCTTGTGACAACTAAATGAAATGATATATAGGAAAATATATGTAGTAGAAGGTTCTAAACAGCTTAATGTATTTCTAAGACCTTAACTTTCTCTGAATCCTCCAAAGTCTTTCTGTAGGCCTGTCTTACAGCAGTAATGTTCTTATCTTTGAATTATTAATATGTGCACATTTTATTTGTCCCTCTCCACCTCCTAGATTATGAAATCCATAAAGGAATGAAACATATTTTACTGATTTTTATATGCCCTCTTTTGCACATTTCAGGATTTGAAAATACCTGTCAAAACAAGTAGGTTCATTCTCCTGCCTATCTGCCATATTTTTATCAGTCTTTTCCAGTGGGGCTGGGGTGCAGGCTTGATCTTTTTATAGCACATCCTTCTATGCAGGGACTGCTCTGACCTGGCTCCTGAGAAAGACACCTGCTTGTCATACTGTGCTAGTACCTTAATGCACCAAGAACACAAAGTATACCAAGCTCAGGATAAGGCCTGCTAGGCTAAGTACACGAGTTTTGTTACAAGCATTTTACAATCTTTTTTTTTGTTTATTGAAAGGTTTCACTTATTTCACACATCTTCTGATGCTTCTGGTAAATACAAGTATGAACATTAGATTTGGGAAGTGTTAAAAAAATTGGGGCATGATTATCATAATGCTAAAAGCTATAACTTTCTCCTTCAGGCTTTATTTAAAATGTTGCAATTTCTACTATTAATCTTTATGATAAGACCTGATTTACAATGGAAGGATATTCAAAGTATTGGAAAAATGACACAAAGAAATTAAGTGCAAGTACATCCAAGGTAAGTTTTTGGCACCACTTCCATTATATGATGATATGATTTGATATCATTTCACAAAGAAGTCAGTAAGGGTGCAATTATTTTTCCAGAAACAAACTTTAATCTCTCATATCTAATGAGCTAAATTAAATTGCTGGCCCTAGGTGATTTTCTTTTTTTTTTTATTTGGCCACTTCTTACGTCACAAAGTCAAACTTCATCTCTATACCCCATGTCCACCCTCTGGAGAACATTTTCAGAGCATCACTGTTGAGCTGTTCTTTAAAAGCATTATCTCCCAAGGACATCAGAACTTAAATCTAAATTTTAAAATTTATTCAGATTCAACTAGCATAGAATTTATATTAATTTATATAAGTCATTTCAATATTTTTAGAGAAAAAATATCCATTGGTATACTTATAAAATTAAATAATTTCAAAAAATGTTTTAACTAGCCATATTAAAAATTTGAAAATAATATTATATGTGTATAATATTGCTATAAAACATATGTATATATTTACATTTATGTGTTTTGGTATAGTTTTGCTGAAAACTGTTTATGTAGAAAACATTAACACTAAATGACAGACTCAATGTTCTCGTCTATAAAGTGTGTATAGTAATAAACACAGAACTTTCATTATGTCTTATACAAAATTAAAAGTGTTGTTGAGGATATGGAGAAGTTTGAATTGTTATAAATTGTTATAAATTTCAGAATGTAAAATGGTGCACTTGCTTTAAAAAGTAACTTGACAGTTCCAAAAAATTACCTGTAGGGTTACCATATTACCCAGATATTGCACTATTGAGTATATATCCAAGTGAATTGGGAGGACATTGAACACACAAAAAGGTATACATGAATGTTTATAGAAACATTATTTATAATAGGCAAAGGTGGAAACAACCCAAATCTCTATCAACTAATGGATGGATAAACAAAATGATATATCCATACAAAGGAATATTGCTCAGCCATATAAAAGAATACAGTTCATGCTAAAACATGAATGACTCTTGAAAAATGTTATGCTGAGTAAAAAAATCAAGCACAAAAGGCCACATATCATGATTCATCTATATTAAATGTCCATAATATGGAAATCCATAGAAAAAAAAAGTAAATTGGTGGTTGCCATGGGGTGTGGGGAGGGAAAATATGAAGAGGCTGCTAATGGGTATGGGTTTTATGGGGGGAGTTATGAAATATTTTGGAATTAGAAAGTGGCAATGGTTATACAACTTTGTGAGTACACCCAAAATCACTGAATTGTAGTTTTTTAGAAATGGAAATCTTATATATGAATCATATCTCACTGAAATAAAAGATTCAGTGGGAGGAATAGGTGCCTAATTACTATTTACACAATTGTTCTATCTCATATAATGAATTAGAACATTCCTTTAGCTGGATTGTGCTGGCTAGTATAAAATTTTCTTTGATTCACAACACATTTTAAGACAAAAGACAGTTATTGCCTGATTCAAATATTATTAGTATGGATTTTCCTTTTCTGTTCCTACAGAAGAAAAATAGAAACATTCTGCACCGAAAAATCCCTCCATCTGAGCACAAATCTGCCTTGTATTTTCCATACAAATTTCTAAGCTTAGGTATTTTCAAACAGAACTTTAAAAAATCCTATTCTTTAAGTTCACATTTTTAAAATTGAGATTGAAATGAACAAGAAATCTATAATATAATTGTAAGACAATACAAATGTTCATTATTAAATATTCTCCAATACTGTATGCTTGCCATATAAATGCAATAACAAGATATACTCACACTTTTCTATTAAAACTATTCAAATACATTAACAAAAATGTGCTAATCACAAAATAGGAACTATAAGGTAAATTGTTACAGATTAAATTTTAATTCCTTCTTCTTATAGTGGACAAAAAGGCTAATCTTAAATTAGTATTATTTTAAAAGATACATACACATTTACAGACTTAACTGATATATCCTGAACAGGAAAAAATGAATATTCATTAGCTTTAGGAAGGATTAGCTTTATCACCTACTGTTTTGGGTAAAACTTAAGCTTGAATTTAAGTGCTAATTTGATTACCAAGAGATTCTAAAATAAAAATAAAAACTCGTAATATAACAGTTTGATAAGAAAACTGCCTTTTAAAAATGAATGCATTTTTAGGCTTTCTTGATTTCTACCACTTCCTGAAAGTTTATTTAATAGTTACACTGACCAGAAATGTGACTTTCAGTTCAGGGTGACCTTTGACTATTTTGAAAATATAGGAAACATTCCTGGGATGATAAACTGTAGGGTGCGATATTT